TGGGGGGTGATTTCTCGCTTTCTGTCTCTATGTCTCTCTCTGTCTGTCTGGCGAGCACACACGCCCTATCGCGAAAACCTCTCCAAAAAAAAAAATTATTAAAGCATTTCTTGTCTCATTCTGCTATATCATAATGACCTTAATCTTATTTTGAATGTTGAACTTGGCTTTTTTTTCATATATATTTAATTTGTGAGTGAGTGATACAGAGCATTTATGTGCTGTTTAAAGAGAAATATTTAAAAACAAGTTGTGGATATCTGTTTATGTTAAATTTATACACATTGAGAAGATTATTACCACAGTTGCTGGTTGACTAAATTTGAATACGATGATGAGCATTTAATCAACAGATTGGATGGGAATGGGTAGTCTTGTGCTAATTGAATGGAATAACAGAGAAGGATAATTTTTAAATTCACCTATCTTTTGCCAAAGGGATAAATCTGAAGAAAACTCTTTCTTTCTTTTTTTAGGCTGAAGTAGCAATTCTCTTCTCTTATTGCTTTTGTGCAAAGTAACAAGAAAATACATTTTTGTGTTCAATTCTTTGTTGTTTTGCTGCCATAAAGCTTCCTGGGTGCCAACTTGGATGTCTTCTCACCAGGAGAATAAAGGATTCTTCTCTGATAAATAATGTCAGTTGGGCAGACATCATTTTGATCTGCTTATTTGGAAAGTTGAAGTTTACCTGCTTTCTCTGGATACCTTAATTTTTTAATTTAATTTTTATTTTAAAATTATTATTACTTATACATCCAATCTCTATACCTTATTTAAGTTGTAAAGAGACTTTACCCAGCATGATATACACCTCAAATCAGCCCAGTTGAGAATACTATACACGTCATCATCAGCAGGTAATAAACCATACCTGTGTCCCAGAAATGTCTTACCTATTTTCCCCCAAATTTTCTTTCCTACAATCTTCTCCCCTCCCACTCTCCCTCCATTTTGTCCCTAGTGTCCATAACAATTTGCAACTCTTCCAATCCTTCAGTCTCTACCATAGAGTGTAGAGAGTTGGTATATGTTAAGTGAAGACATACAATGTCTCTGTTTCATAGCCTGACTTGCTTCACTCAGCAAAAAATTCCATATTCATCCACTTTCTATCACATGTCAGGGTCTTACTGTTTTTTTGTTTGTTTGTTTGTTTTTGGCTGAATAGTACCAAACAAAGAAATGTAGTAAAAGGAAGGTGAGGATTGAGAGGCTCCAGAGTCCTGTTATGATAGTTCATTGTCTCTGCACAAGATTTTTTTCCCAGTAGCAGAGTTTCAACTGTTTTCAGAGTTGTTCAGCTGTTCTCAGCCCCAGACCTCAAACCTTCCAGCCTCTTTTAGCTGCATGGTGTATGTGCATGTTTTGTTTTTTTTTTCATTTCCCCATTTCTCTCTATTCTACTTCAAATCTCCAAATAATTTGGGTGCCTTTTACTCAACCTCTAACAAAAGCCTGAACTCATGTGAGTCAGAAAGATATTGGTTACCTTACTGCACTAACTTGTACAAAACATGCAGTCCTCATTAGTGCAGTCAACAGAGAGTCAGCAAAGGGATTGCATGAGCAGTCACTCATCAGGCTGACCACTTGAGCCTCTGTCCAAGGTTGCACCCAAATCAGCCCAGAAATGCTCTTACTTTTTAATTCCAAAAGTGTTATTTTTTCTAATTATAAAGGGAATTTCTTCTTTTTAAATGATAGAGAGCTTATACATGCATACACAAAAGTGAGGGGTAGGGAGACAGAAAGAGAGAGATTGAAAAGTACCCCTGATAGAGTCTGGTCATGCTGGCATCCTCCTCCCTCAACTCCTCAGGATCTTGGGTGCCAATGCACATATTCAGTACGTTTTCAGATTGACCCAGGGATCCAAACTCTTGTTTGGCTATGTGTTCTCCAGCTTTGCAAGAACACTGTGTTAATGCAGTGCCATAGTAGCTGGGTCTATAAAGGCAATGTATGATCATTATAATAGATTTAAAAAGATAAAAGGTTGAAAAACACAAAAAGCACAAAAGAGATAAGCCATAGAGCTTTGGCCTAACACATAATTTTATTTTTGGTCTTTCCTGAGAATAAGGATCTATTTCAGTTACTGCTGCAAAACAGTAACTTAAATCAATAGCTTATTATTTTTCATGATTCTGTGTACTGATTTGGCAGTTTTACTTTATATGCTGTCAGTTGAGGTGCTGGGATGACTGGAAAGTCCAAAAGGGTCTCATTCACATAGCTAAAATGTTGGTGTGGGGTGTTGGTTAGGAACTCAGTTGAAACTATTTTCTTCATGTGGGCTACTTCACATGTCTGTTTGAAATTTCTCACAGCAATACAGCTGTGTCCAAGGTGTGTACTATTAATAAATGGCAAAAATAGAAAGTTCAGATCTTTTTATTTTTTGAGAGGTTTTTGCTACAGGATGCATGTGCTCACCAGAAAAACAGAGACAAAGAGACAGAAAGCAAGAAATCACCTCCCAGGGGGAATAGCCATTCTGTAATCCCTTCTCCTCCATTTCCTCTCGGGATCTTGGACACACATGCACACGTGCCCGGCATGAGTTTAAGCCACTGGGTCTGGAGACTTGAACCACGTCAACTACATGGGAGTTTAGTGACATAGCCATTAAGTCAACTGCTGGTCCCAAAACTTCAGATCTTTTAAAATTCAATTTTGGAAGTTACAAAACATCATTTTTGCCACATCATATTGGTGAAAATAAGTTATGGGTCCAGCCCAAAATCAATGTGGGAGAGAATTATACAAGGTGTAATCACTGGGAGATAGACTTGACTGGTGGTCATATCTACAGACTAAATTCTATAGAACACTTCATATCCCTTGACTTCAGTAGTCTTCATCCTTCTGCAGCCATAACTGGGCAGATTTATGGGACAAAGATAATGGTTGTAATATGCATACATATGGAGTCAAGTTTTAGGGAATCAGCAGGTTATATGCAGTTGAGCTCCCAATGTTGAATAACTCCTAATTTATAGTTTTTGCCCTATTTCTAAGTAACTTGCAAGGTTGAAAAATTGGATGAAAATCAAAGTCACAAGTCGAATATCACTTCCTCAAAGAAATCTTGACTGTACACTCTGCCCCAAACTCTAGTTTATGTTTACTCACTATTTTCAGTTTTATTAACTTAATT